TATTGCATGCATTTCATTAAACTTAATGTGAAGCTGACACTTCTTAAATGCAAATTGAAAAGTTAATAGTGCTTTTTTAAACACGGGTTACAGTTTTTTAAATTGTTTTCAAGCTCAATAATTGAATCACCTTTTTTTTGACATTTGTATATTTTTAGTAAACCAGATATGCCCTATATAGGAACGTTCTAAGTGTTAAAGATCTTTTTGAGGTACTGTTCTATAAAATGACTTTTTCCCCAGTAGGCTTTTAAATATTACAACTGTATGTGGAACAGAAGCTAACACTGATCCCAGATTCTTACCTGAAAATAAAACACATCAGTTCACATTTCAAATGACTTCAAATCACCATCATCATCTTTTAACGATCCCATAATCCCTTGCAGGGTGGAGTCTGGGCAACTGAATGGAGCTAGCAGAGTGTTTTAATGGCCGGATGCTCTTCCTGTCACCAACTTCAAATGACTTCAAATAATAGTGCTTAATGTTCTGGCCTGATCCCACTTGCCCTGTTCATCATATATACCAAACCTGGTCTTGAGAGTGAATAAGCACAATATACAAATTGCAAAATTGAATTAAATGACTTTGTCAATTAACTTTATGGGGATAAGATTTGATCAATAAATAAATCCATTCTTGTTTAAAATTCACCTCATGCCCAGCCAGTCAGCAAACTCCATATTTCATTCATACTTCTTACCTCCTTCCAACATCCACCATTGAAACAAAACCTCAGAGATTCTGCAAAATCAGGGCCTCTTTGTAGGCTTCTTGATTTTAACCGGATGTATAAATGAACTTGGGGAAAGAAGGGAAGAAGAGATGGTGGCTAGGAAACGATCAGACAAGAGAGGCAGGAGCCCACAGTCACTTCATGGCCAGAGAAAGAAACTTAGGAACAACCTTTCCTAACAGATCAAGTAGTTAAAAGCAGAGGTGAGAGGTTTGTACCTTCAGACTTTCAAGGTTCTGTTAATTAGCCTTACAACAAAGTAGAATTCATTCATCTTGTCATGTTTCCTGTCTGGTTTACCTGGCAGGAGAGACACTTGCCTCTGCCACATAGTGGGAAGGGGAGTAGAAAATAGGCAAAATTAGGTAAGGTTCCTGAATCTATCCATGATGATGGGCTCTCTTAAAGAAGTACCATGTTTCCCCAAAAATAAGACCAGGTCTTATTTTCTTTTAGGCTTCAGAATAACCACTTGGGGTTATTTTCGAGGAGGTTTTCTTTTCTTTTCTTTTCTTTTTTTTCTTTCTTTCTTTCTTTCTTTCTTTCTTTCTTTCTTTCTTTCTTTCTTTCTTTCTTTTTTGAGGTGCAGGAGGCAGCGAGCGGGATCACCTCATGGCTGCTGGACCCATTAACTACAGCCCATGGATCAGCTGTCCACTGAGGCCCCGGAGTTGTGTCTCTCTGGGTGCCTGGAGATATATCCAGCGCACTCTTGCTAGCCCCAGCCCTGCCCACGGTGCCAGGCAACGTTGCAGCCAAGTGCTCCTCTGTTCCGCAGCTCACCTTGTGGCTATGGAGCAGGCGGCGAGTACAGTTTGTGCTCTGCCAGGCCTGGAGCGCCGGTGTTGCTTAAGCTGCTGCTACGATGAGGCAGAAAGCCATGTGGCCCGTCGGAATCGGCTCCCCCCTGCCCTTACCCTGCTGCTGCTGGAGAAAAGGACAGGCAGTTGTGGAAGATTGTGGGAAGCGCATGCTTACGATAGAAGGAAAGCCCAGCCTGTCCCTTTCAAGCGATCAAATGTCTGTGTGTGTGTGAGAGAGAGAAAGAGATAGAGAAAGAGAAACAATGGAGAGGAGTACTAAAAATTGCAGGCAATGCTGTTTGAAAGGGTTTCCTCTGCACCATTTCTCTTCTCCGCTCCTGCCTGCCTGTCCACCGGACCTGGGCCTGCTGGGCACCATCCGCCCCAAACCAAGCGGTGGGGAGGCTGTGGGACAGTGCCCTTCTAGCACTCACCACCCTGGCAAAGGTAAAGCTGAAGCAGGCGGGGGCCACATGGGGCTCCTCTGATGGTCTCCCCACCCCTGCCCAGCTAGGGGGCGGCCCATACATGAGGTGTAAGTACGGGTTGAGTTTGGCATTTCCCCTTCCTGCCTTTTGTGAACTTTTGGCTGTACGCAACGGAAGCAGAAGCAATAGAAGTCTTTCTTCCTCTCCCCCAAATTCTTCCAGAAATGAGTCTTTGTGAGACTCGTTGTACCACTGCAGCCTCTTGGAGCAGGACCCTGCAAGGCTTGTTGTGCCATTGCATGCACGAACTGCAGCACCGCCGCAAGGTTCAACATACCGGTGCAACCACGAGCTGCACCGGTATGATGAAGCTCGCGGCGGTGCTGCCATTCACGCACACCTAGAAGGGCGCTCCCCGAAGCCTCCCCGCCACTTTGTTTGGGGTGGATGGTGTCCGGCAGGCCCAGGTACAGGAAGCGGGCAGACAGGTGGAGCGGAGAAAAGAAACAGCACAGAGGAAACTCTTTCAAACAGCGTTGCCTGCAATTTTTGTTAGTCCTTTCGGTTGTTTCTTTTTTTTTCTCTCTCTCTCATTCTCTCTCTCACACACACAGACATTTGATCGCTTGAAAGGGACAGGCTGGCTTTCCTTCTATCGTAAGCAAGTGCTTCCCACAATCTTCCACAACTGCCTGTCTTTTTCTCAAGCAGCAGCAGGGTAGAGGTGGCGGGGTGGGGTGGGGAGAGCCAATTCCGACGGGCCACATGGCTTTCTGTCTCATCGTAGCAGCAGCCTAAGCAACATGGGAGCTCCAGGCCTGGCGGAGCGCAAACCGTGTTTGCGGACTGCTCCATAGCCACAAGTGAGCTGTAGAACAGAGGGGCCCTCGGCTGCAAGGTTGCCTGGCACCATGGGCAGGGCTGGGGCTAGCAAGAGTATGCTCGAAATATCTCCAGGCACCGGAGAGACAGAACTCCCAGCACTCGCTGGATGAGCTGATCCGCAGGCCTCGGTTAAGGGGCCCAGCAGCCATGAGGTGACTGGGGAAGGGAAGGGCTGCTTACTGTGCTGGCCATGTCCACCCCCTTCACTAGGGCTTAATTTTGCGGTAGGGCATATAAGGCCCACCCCAAAAAAATCAGGCTAGGACTTATTTTCGGGGTAGGTCTTTTTCCATGGAAAACGATAATAGTAGTAAAGTAGTAGTAGTAGTAGTAGTAAATGGTAGTTAGTAATTCAAAAAGTGACAGCTACTTTTGTGCTGGCTAGGAAAACAAAAATGGCAGAACATTAAAGTCCTGGCCATCCCACATTGGGTAGTATAAGGGCTAAAACCTGAACTAAGCAATATGGAGAGAGGATGGCTAAGTTGTTTATGTGAAAAGAATCAAGCAAGTGCTGGCATATTTGGAGACAGATTTACTTGGGGAAAATGTGGGCATTTGGCAGAATCAAAGCCCTGAAGATCAAGGGTCACCTACTTATGTTTTCTTTATTTTCCGCTCAAGGTCCTTTTCCTTTGGACTGTTGACAGAATTGGATACATAATTCTTGCAGCAGCAACTGTTACACCACCTATTGCATCTTCACTTCCCTCCTCCCCTCCCCCTTGACTTCTTTGGGGCTTCCTGCATGCATGCAGTTAGGCTGAGGGTCTAACTGCTCACATACACTCCTATGCATGTGACTATCAGAGCAGCCGAAAAGAGGTCTCTGTTTAATGCTGATGTTTTGCCTTTCTGCAGGAGAAGAGCTTATGAAAATCAGTGAAGAGGATGAACAGGGATGGTGCAAAGGCCGGCTTCAGACTGGTCAGGTTGGACTGTATCCTGCTAACTATGTAGAAAAGGTCATTTTGTGATTGCTTCTCCCTTCCCATCACCGCAACCACCTGACAAAGTGTATTGTGTGATGAGTTTTTGCTGAGGTCCCAAATCACGGGCTTCCAACCTGCATACAAAAGAAACAAATGAAATAATCTGGACCTTTCCGGGGATATTCTTTTCTTGTAACCAGTGCTTCATTTTAAAACATCTAGAAATATGCTGATTTTTTTTTTCTAATAAAGAAATGTAACATTTTCTGAATCTCCTGTGTACTGCAGAAGAATGGAAAGGAAAGGATTCTGTAAAGAGGCAAAATATCTATTTGGGGTTGGGTGGAGTAGAAAATTCCACATAATCACAGTCAATTCAACGTTGTCTTCCTAGCTATTGCTTTAAAAGCAAATTTGGAAGAATAATTTAAAATTACTACTCCTGGATCAAAATTATAGAGCCATCTTAACTGAATGCCCTTCATTACTGGCACAAGTTAGCACAAGCCATGCAAGCTATTATACTTCCCACACCCAATATTAGGAAGTTAAATTTTGACCTAGTGTCATAGTTGAGGGATAAGTTATTCAAGCATAATTATGTACTGTAAGATAGTGAATTCATTTTAAGCATTTTTTTCTGAATTATTTAAATAATAATTGCTTTTAAATGTAAACACTGGATCAAATAATACAGTATTTGCCTTAATGATTTCAAATATAATTTAAAATATGTAACCTTCTTTACATCCCTAATGAAATGCAGCAAATGATTTGAATATATTCATATTCAAACTTGACAATTTAGAAACATTTAAGTGAAACTAAATGAGCAAGCTCTGGTTGGATTATTTTTATATCAGGGATGCAAAACCCCAGATGATAATAAAGAGAAACAAAAAACCCTCAAGTCACTAATTCTATCTATTGTCTGGATTTTTGTATCACAGACGTGGTTAGTCCTATTATTAAGGAATAATTCAGCTTTTCAGCAAAACCTTAATTCTAATATTCCAATTCAGTTTGACATTCTGACTTTGAAATGAGACAGCTTGTCATGGCCAATTCACCACAGCTAACCCAATGCAATGATCTCGCGGTGGCCATCTTGCTGCTGCCAATTCACCATGGCCAACTTTCTGTGGGACAACTTTCTGTAGAACAATTCTATGTGGGATAAATCAATGCGATAAATATTATCTGCTGCTGTTTCTTTGACATTTCCATTGACAGAAATGGAAATAATGTAGAAGAAGCAGTGGCATATAACATTTATCGCATGGAGTTATCCTACGTGGATTGTCCTGGCAGCAAGTTGGCTGTGGCGAGATCGCTGAGTTGGCCATGGTGAGTTGGCCATGGCGAGATAGGAGCAGTGAGTTAGCCACAGTAAGTTGTCGTAGACACTTCTGGCTTTGCCCTGTTTGACATTCTGACCCTCCCTTCCTTCCTTTCATCCCTCCCTCCCTCCTCCCCTAATCCAGCTCCATTCTAAATTGTTTACTAAGAGATTGAATAGGAAAATTCATGTAGGATAAGAATAAGAATAAGCAACACAAAAATGCTTATTAAGGAGCAATTAGCTTTACATTGAGTATTGATATGGATATTCTTCAATTAAGGCAACTTGATTAGATCATTGAAGAAACACAGATCACTTACGTCAGTTGGACATGTGGCTGTCCCCAGCTGGATGAAAGCATTTGTGAATGTTGGGGCAGTTTTTGTACCCGACTGGGGAAAATGTTCAGTTGTGCTGACTGCAATGAAGCTATGGCACTCCGGAGCACGTACCAATTTAAAGTCTGGAACTCAACCCCTTCATACAGACTCAGATAATATTTCACTGATACTAGTTGCCAGCAACCTGCTTCAGCTTGAGGCCGCTGCAGTCTTGCCCAAAGTTGTCCAGACCGCTTGCTATAGTCTATGCCTGCTCTGCTGACACATTAAATTACATCACTGAAATTTTGCCACACGTGCAAGTCTGCCAAAATCCTAAAAGCACAGCTGTTGGAACAAATAATCTTGCATTCCTGTCTTGTTTGCTGACCTGTCTCAAGGCTTCCATACTTGGTGCTGGACTTTGCTTCCCCACAATCAACACCAATGTTAGATGATCTGTGCTCTAATTTGGGCTGCTGCCTCAGCTTTGTTACTGCAAGGTTGGCGTAGGGCGGGTAAAGAAGAAAAATCTTGCAAATCTTTTTAAAACTAGTCTCCCCAAAGGTTCACCAAACTCCATTGTAGAATTGTGTAGAACCACACAGTATCTCTCATTAAGATTTCTGTGTAATTCAGATTTTGCTCAGTGTTGCCTAAAAATAAATTCCCTGATCTGTGCTTTGATAGGAACTAAATATTTATATCAGGAATATCACTATTCCTGCTAGCAGTTATGCTGCATAAATATGATTTCAATGATTTCCTTATATGTAAAATGTGTTTGTTGTTTACCAAAATTCCGGGTGCCCATGGGGAGGCTGCCACGCTTCAATAAATAGAAGCATATTTTCTGGAGCTGCTGGACAAGCTACAAGGATCAAGTTTCATTTCTGACTTGAGGGGAAGCTTGTTCCATATTTCTGAACAATCATTGACATCCTTCCTTCTGGGTCATTGATTCCAGGCTGATAAATAGCAGTGCTTCAGTAAAACATGCCTTAATAGAATTTTGACTCCAAAAAACAAAATTATAAAAAAACCCTGACATAAACTCAAAGGTCATCTTACAAAATCCAAAGGTCACTTTCCTCTTCATCAAAGATCAGGAGGCCTGATCAAATGCTTCCGGCAAGGTTTCACTTTGAACCCTGTGATCAGGATGGGCTGTTCGCTTTTTCATTCCTAAACAATCAGCCATTTTAAACTCTCAAGCTGTCATTTCCAAGCTAAACCTGCAAAAGTTCACAATAATATGATACAAAGAGGCTACTAAGGGAAGAAAATGCTTGCCTAGTGACCATATAGTAGTCTCTGACTGAATGACAGAAACTTTAAGCTGTAAGCCTTGTAATAACATTCTTCAAATACCAAACATAGCATTTTGTTTGAAGGATTGGTTTTAGAAAGGCTCTTCATAGTTTCAGCTTTGATCGCCATGTCTTTTTTTTAAAATCACCAGGCTACCTCAGAATTCCCTATGTATTATATGCTTTCTAATTCTATCCTATCTCCTTCAGAGGGCCTTGTACCATTCCATGAGCCCAAGTAGATCCTTGGGCCAACTGCTGCTGCTGCTGTTGACAACTTCTCTGCTCTGTTTATTGTTCATCTCTTTCACAGAGCTACACTCATGAATCAAAGGCATAGTCCGTGCTTCTTGCTGTACCTTGAAACCACAGCTCTAAGTAGGTTTGCACAAGTTGCTGCAGCAGAATGATATAATGGTTGGAAACCAGAGAACTGCTTACAAAGGGATGATTGTTCAGGGATGAGAAAAGATTAGGTTCCTTCACTCACATATTCCAATATAGCCAACTCTTGTGCTAAGCAGTCAGATGGGATGGAGCAGGGGTGCTATTCAGCAGGTTCTGGAGAACTGGTTGTAGAAATTTTGAGTAGTTCGGAGAACCGGCAAATACCACCTCTGGCTGGCCCTAGAGTGGGGTGGGAATGGAGATTTTGCAATATCCTTCCCGCAGGAGTGGTGAGGGAATGAGGATTTTGCAGTATCCTTCCCCTGGAATGGGGTGGGAATGGAGATTTTGCAGTGTCCTTCCCCTGCCACGCCCACCAAGCCATGCCCACCACACCCACAGAACTGGTAGTAAAAAAAAATTAAATTCCACCACTGGGCTGGAGCCTTGGAAGAACTAGGGAGACAGGCCAGTTATTTGCTTGGGTCTGTGAATCACTCTCTATACAGACTTTGATGGGAGGTGGTCATTTCCCCGGCTCTTCAACATATCAATGCACTGCCTACAAGCAGTTCTTTACAAGGGCTCAAGAGTACAGCACAACACTCAGCACAGGGCAGGACTGATAGCAGTTTTCTCAGAACTACACAAGCAATAGAAGTAGCTATATCCTTCTCAGGTTCTGCCTGAAAGGCTGAGGATAACATGACACTGTCCATCTTTTGGAGAAGCTTTGAACCCCAGGGCAACTGCCATATTTACCCAGAGGCTAGAAGGCTTGCAACTGTAAACTACTTTGTCTGTATAAAGATATGTCTAGTAGGTTGGGTGGGTCAAGGCTCAGACTGGAAACAGCTCTGTTCAAGATAAGCTTATATGCACTTTGGACTTTCCCCTAGGGTGGTAATCTCTTTGTGGCTACATGCCTGCCTTATGGCCCCCCTACACCACTCCAAGGGATCCAGAATTCAACAACCAGGGAGCAGATAAGCAATGGGTTTGTCTTTGGAGATTTTGCAGTATCCTTCCCCTGCCACGCCCATCAAGCCACACCCACCAAGCCATATCACGCCCACCATGCCCACAGAACCGGTAGTAAAAAAATTTGGATTTCACCACTGTAGATACGATACTAGTATTGAAGTCACATAGACTCATGATGTGGATAACTCTTAAGTTTACTTTATGACTAATCTATTTATAGTAGCTCAGGAGTTCATCAATTGAATGAGGAAAACCACCTAAGATGAGTAGCACCTATGATGCAGGAGACAAACCATCTGAATATCAAAAATCAAAGCCCACTGTTTCACCTTACAAAAAAATAGGAATTTCCCCCCAACATGATTCCAGATGAACATCAGTAATCACTGTTGATAAACTAAGCTCTTTATAACAAAAATAGCAGAAATGGATAGTTTAACACTGAAGATTAAAGAAAAAGAAGACACACAATACTTCCAAATTTGGGACTTGTTTTATCAGAGGAGGATTATTTTTGAAGTTCGGCCTTTTGATTTTGAAACAATCAACAAGTTCCTGATGCTCCCTGATACTCAAAAGAGAGAGATTATGTTTTCTTATTTGGGATCTGAATGGGATATCATGTCTGAATACAGAGGTCAAGCATTCTTCTTAGACAAAAGCTTGCAAAGAGAATTCAAGAGTTCCTCTTCTGCTGTCTTAGCATTTAAACACCCCAATGGTTTTCAAGCCTTTTCCCACAGTGCTTGGAGGGAAAGGGGAAAAAAAGTGTAAGAATTACACACATGTGCAAGATAGTTGGCTCTGGCAGTTGGAAAGTTTTCCTCATGAAGTCGGAGGCCTTGGCTGAGAACAAATGCAGTGAGACTGCAAAGTTGTGGGAGGCAGCCGGCTAGTTATAGCTGTGGGTCTCCTCACACTGCAAACTGAACTGCAGATCTGTCGAAAAGAAGTGCTGGATTTAAAGATTAATTCTGAAGCAAGAACAAAGGGGGAGAGAAATTGACCAACCAACTGCATTGATTTTGTAAGTGATGTTCTTAGATTTGCATATCTTTTTTTCTTTTAAGAATTTTAAGAATTCAGGTGACTCCAAAAATGGGAGGGTAGAAAGAAAACGCTAAGGAGATTCTGATCTGCACAAAAACAGCAACAACCTTAGATGGTAGTGCAGCCAGGATCTCTGATGGTTCTCTGTTAAGGTGGATGTTTTGTAACTGGAAACACCCATCATGGCAATCGCTCTGTGAGTGTGCCTATACTAAATTCTCCCACATCCGAACAGTCCAGAAAGAAAGAGAGTGCTGTGCTAAGCCATCACATGGTTTCTGTTTACTTGAGTGTCATATGTGAACCCAGCTTTTATGGTCTGCAAATTTGGTTAATGGCTCTGCATGGTGGATGAACCCAATCTTGTGACTGCTCACGACAGCAAATTATTGTTCAGTTTGACATGTTAACTTATCAGGGCCTCTCTTCTGGGACTATGTCAGCTGAAGAATAGAAAACAAAATAACATAGAAAATATTTTTCTTAATGTTCAAATGAAAAATAAATATATCTATTCAAATGCCAGAAGCATCCAATTAGGTGCGTGATTTGCCTTGATCTCTTTATTCCAAACATGACAGCAACCTTCCACATTGTTAAATTATGAGCTAATTTGGCAAGGTGCCAACGATTCATAGTATACTGTATCATATTTAAATATATTAATAAAGAGATCTTTGGTAATTATTGCATTTATTTTTCAATGTTTATTGCTTTTATATTTTTGTTTATACTTGTACTATATACTTGTAAGCCACCATAAAATTATTGTTAAGTTAAAAAAGGCTATAAAGTTTGTAATAAATAGAGGTAATTATCATTTAGCAACTGTCTGCAAATATAATATAGTATTTTTAAAGTAATAAAAATCATTTTCTGCCAATGTGCACATTTACAACAAAAGCCTTCAGTGTGAAACTGATTACAGTCTAGTCAGTTTCAGGCAGCAGCTGCTAACCTGGAGAAGGGTTCTAATCAACTAATTAGGAAAACAGCTGAGCTTGTTAATTTGCAGTTAGCACTTTTTACAGACACATTGCCTAATCAGTAAGACGTCTATGGAGATTCTTAGTCATCCAGGTTATGCTTTTTCAAAAGGCAACTGGACTTTTCTTTGTTTTGCTTGAAGTTGTTTCACTTCTCATCCAAGAAAAAGGCATGGGAAAAAAAATAGGTCAAGAACACAGCACTGCATGGGGGAACTCTACTTGAATGAAACAGCAGTAGCTAGAGATCTTTGCAGCATCTCTCTTGCTCAGTCACATATTCACTTATGCAACTGTTTCTCTTAATGACTGGGCTATAGGAACTAATTGCAGTTAGTAAATTAGAACTCTATAAATGGTTTGTGAATGAGATTCCAGAGGATTGTTTCCATTTTACTGTCTGATATTCACAGAGAATTGAGTCTGTAGCAGTCTGTCCTAATTGACTGCTTAAGTGCCATCAAGTTGTAGTACTAATTGCATACAGTCGATAGATTATCTCCAAGATGATCTCTCCCCCAACCTGATCCTTCAGGTCTTCCAATGATGCATCTCTCGCCAGTCCATCCACCTTGCTGTTGGTCATCCTCTTCTCTTTCCTCCCACATTTCCGAGCACTTATTCACAACACAAGACATTCCTTCAATTTCACTCTTCAAATTAATTCCTTTCCCCCTCACAACTGTCGGTTTAAATTCTTACCACACTTAGTAATGGACTCCACCCTGAGAATTTCCTCACACACTCATAGGCTTCAGAGAAAAGACCACATGACCATTTTTTCTTCTTATTTCCCTTTTATTGCTGAAGACCATCATTCCAAGGTAGAAAGCAAATAACTGCTATGTGGTATCTGTCTTAATGGAAGGCATAGGGAGAAAGGCCAGGAAGCAAGAAGCAGTCTGAAGGTCCTAAATCTTTTAGGGCAGAGCAGATTGCCAAGCCATATTGGAAAATGAAAAGGTCCAAACATTAAAGTAAGCTTCCCTTTGCTGTACAATAACACAGATTTCTAGGGAAAGGTCACGAACAGGAAGCTGACCTTGTCATGTGCAAGGAAGACAAGAATTGCTAATGTCAACAATTCTTATGCTATATAAATGGAGGCAGCCACTTCTATTGAATTAACACAAAAACAATAAAAATCATTAGAGTAAGCATGAATTTCAGTCCAAAAGCGAGTACTGGGGAAGAATATCTTTCCAGCTTGTTTTGAAAGAAAAATGAACCCTTAAATCCAGTTTCTTATATCATTTTGAATCATGATCTTTATAATCCAGGATATTTTGTCACATTGGATTTTTTGCACTGCCATAGTATAAAGTTATGCAACAGCAATGGGGACAGTGGTGGAATTCTATCAGTTTGGACCAGTTAAGGCAAACCGTTAGCTCTGACTTTCAGCTGTGAGCGAACCGGTTCGCTCCTATTTTGAAGTGGGCCCACCCACCTGCCCCTGCGTTATACTCACCTATATTTCCGTTTCCAAAGCCCAGCTGATCGGTGCGGCACCTCAGCTGTTTTCCTTGCCTGCAGCAATGCGGAAGGTGAGTTTTCTTCAAACTGCATACACATGTGCTTAGCAAACCGGTTGTTAAACCAGTAGGATCCTACCCCTGAATGGGGATGATTTTTGAGGGGCAGTATTTCTATTATTTTGAGACTAGAGGCAAAATATAGCACCTAGGACGTCTGCATGGATGTCTGTATATAAAACTATAGACAAAAGAATGTAAGCCATCTAGCGATGGAGAAAATACTGTATTTGTAAGAAAACCTAGAACTCATCTCTGTGAAAAAAAAGTATTTGCCTCTTAGTCAGGATATAACATGTGCCTTGTGATAACTATTTACTTATTGCTTGTGGTTGTTATATCACCTTTATTACTTTATAATTAACTCAAGATGGTGAGCATACATAATCTTCCTTTCTTCCTCCTATTTTCCCCACGACAGTCCTGTGAGGTAGGTTGGGCTAAGAGAGAGAGAGTAACTGGCTCAAAATCATCCAAACTGCTTTCATGGCTAAGGTGGGACTAGAACTCATAATCTCCTGGTTTCTGGGCCAGTACCTGCACCACTCTACTAAACTGACTGTCAAAACTATTCAAATATATTTGTGCCTTCTCATCAACAATCTTAAATTGGGTTCACATACTGCAGTGATAAAATTCTTTAATCTGTTAATTGATAACTACAATTGGCTAGGCTCACATTATATGATTTAGAAATCTTGTAAGATTTCAATAACTTTAAAATGAACTTCAGATAGTACGCACATGGCAACCTCAATTGGGATTGGCTACTCCAGGGGTGTCAAACTTGCACTGTCACAGTGCCATCATGTGACATATTGTGACTTTTTCCCCCTTTGCTAAACCGGGCATGGGTGTGGCCAGCATGTGATGCATCTTGCATCTGGCCCGTGGGCCGCAAATTTGACAGCCCTGGGCTACTCCATCACTAAGCACTGAAGTTGCTAAGTGGAAAATCATGGGACCATCATGGATTTAGGAGGTCACTTCCCATTCGGTTGTTAAGCACCAGTCATTAAGCGAAAACATCACATGATTGCAACTTTTTACTTCTGTGCTCTCCTTGTTGCAAATCATTTAGGAAGCATGTGAATGGTGATTATGTGACCCCAGGACTCTGCAACAGCAATAAATGGAAGGATTAGTCACAAAGCTGTTTTTCATACTGTTGTAGTATTGAACAATTGCTAAATGAGGCTCTTGGTAAGCAAGGACTATGGTACCAGTATTTTATGAAATATTGTTACACATTTTATAATATATAAAACAAATGTTATTAAATATATATATATATATATATACACACACATACATACATACATACATACATACATACATATATATATATATGTAGGTCTTTGGTTATTCGGGTCTTCTCCCACGTAAAATTGGAAGTGTCTTGGCGACGTTTCGACGAAGTCTCATTCGTCATCTTCAGGCTGGTGTTCTCGGCTTCGTGCTTCCAGGAGCAATGTGAGATCGCAGCTGTCTCTTCCTTTTAACTGCTAGTGGGGGTGTGAGCTGATTGGGTGGGAACTTGGCTGTGTTCTGATTGGGTGGAGGTGTGTTCTGATTGGTTAGGGGCTTGGCTGTGCTCTGATTGGATGGGGGGTTGGTTGTGCTCTGATTGGCTGGGGGTGTGTTCTGTTTGGGTGGGGGCTTGGTTGTGCTCAGCTTAGTCTGAGTTGCAGGGGGATTTGAGCTGGTGAGCTGCGTTGTTGTTGTTTGGCTTCGTGTTTGTGGCCGTGCGAGCTCTTCATGGTGGGTGTCAGTCTGCTTCATGTATGGATTGGAGGGGTTTAAAGTGGCTAATGATGCAGCTGCGGTCTGGCTTCTGGTCCTTGGTCGTGGCTCATTATCAGTGTGGGTTTGAGTCTGCTTTCTGC